CCCTCCTCCTTCCTCTCCTCCTGCTCCCCCTCCTCATCCTCCGCCTCCTACTCCTCCTCCTCTTCCACCCTCCTCCCCCATCCTCCTCAATCCGCCTCCTCCTCCTCTCCCATCCTCGCTCCTCCCTCCTCATCCGTTTTTCCTTCTCATCTTCGTTCTGCCTTTTCTTCCCTCATCTCCTCCTCCCCCTCCTCTCCACCCTCCTCCTCCTTCTCCTCCTCATCCTCCTCCTCCTCGTCCTCATTCCTCCTTCTCCTCCACCTTCCTCCCTTCCCCTCCTTTTCTCATCCTCCTCCTCCTCCTCGTCATGCTCATCCCCCATCCCCTTCTCCCCTCCATCTCCTCCCCCTCCTCCTCCTCCTCCTGATCGTCCTCCTCCTCTTCCTCTCCTTTTCCTCCTCTCATCATTTCAGATGTTTTCTCCTCCTTTCCCCTCCTCCTGATCCTCCTCCTGCCCTTCCCTTCCATCTCTTTTTCCTCAGTTTTCTCTTCCATTCGTCCTCGCCCATCCTACCAACTCCTCCTCTCCTCCTCCACCCTCCGCCCCTCCCCTCTTTCTCCTCTCTTCCTCCTGCTGCTCCTTCTTCCTCCTTCTCCTCCTCCTCCTCCTCACCATGTCCATTCCTCCTCCTCCGCCTCCGTCCCTTCTCCTCATCCTCCTACCATCCTCCTCCTTCCCCTCCTCTTCCTCCTCCTCCACCCTCTCCCCTTCTCTCCTCCTCCTCATCCTCTTTTCCTGCCTTCCTCCTCCCTCCTCCTCCTCACCCGCACCACCACCACCGAACCACCACCACCCCATTCCTCCTCCTCCTCCGCCTCTTTATCATCCTCCTCCTCCTCCTCCTCCTCCTCCACCCTCTTATCCTTCTCCTCCTTTTCCTTTTCCTTATCCTTTTCCTCGTCCTCCTCCTCCTCCTCTTGCTCCTCTTCCTCCTCCTTCTCCGCCTCCTCCTCCTCCTCCTCATCATCATCATCATCATCATCAGCAACAGCAGCATCATCATCATTATCATCATCATCATCACCATCATCATCAGCAGCATCTGCATCAGCATCAGCATCAGCATCAGCATCATCATCATCATCATCATCATCAGCATCAGCATCATCATCATCATCATCATTATCATCATCGTCATCATCATCATCATCGTCATCAGCATCTTCATATTCCTTATGTTCTCTCCTCCTCCTCCTCCTCCTTCTTCCCCTCCTCCTCCTCCTCCTCCTCCTTCTTATCCTCCTCCTCATCCTCCTCCGCCTCCTCTCTCCCCTTCTACTCCTCCTCTTTTTCCTCATCCTCATTTGCCTTCTCCTCCTTCTCTCTGCCCTCCTCCTCCTCCGTCCCTTTCCTTTCCTCCTCCTCCTCCTCTTCCTCCTCCTCGTCCTCCTATTTATTCCCCCTCCTCCTCCTCCTCCTCCTCTATTTCCTCCTCCTTCTCCTCCACCCTCCTCCCCTTCTCCTCCTTTCACCTCCTCCTCCTCTTCCTTTTCCTTGTTCTTATCCGCCTTGTTCTTCTCCGCCTCGTCCTCCTCCTCCTCCTCCTCCTCCTCCTCCTCCTCATCATCATCATCATCATCATCTTCCTCCTGCTCCCCCCCTCCTCCTCCTCCTTCTCCTCCTCCTCCTACTCCTCCTTCTCCTCCTCCTCCTCCTCCTTATCCTCCTCTTCATCCTCCTCATACCTCCTCCTCCTCCTCCTCCTCCTCCTACTTTTCCTCCTCCTCCTCCTTTTCCTTCTCCTCCTTCTCTCTGCCCTCCTCCTCCTCTTCCTCGTCCTCGTCCCTCTTCCTCCTCCTCCTCCTCCTCTTCCTCATCATCCTCCTCCTCCACTTCCTCCCTCGTCATCCTCCTCCTCCTCCGCCTCCTCCTCCTCCTCCTCCTCCTCCCCCTTCTCCTCCTCCTCCTCCTCTTCTCCTCCTCCTCCTCCTCCTCCTCCTCTCCTCCTCCTCCTCCTCCTCCCCCTTCTCCTCCTCCTCCTCCTCCTCCTCCTCTTCCTCCTCCTCTTCCTCCTCCTCCTCCTCCTCCTCCTCTTCCTCCTCCTCCTTCTCCTCCTCCTCCTCCACCTCTCGTCTTTTTCTTCTCTCCCCGCCGCCCTGTTGGCCTGCAGGCGGTGCACCCGAGGTGGAAGGGCCACCTGACGTTGCAGCAGGACGGTTCCTTCCACCGCGCGGGGGGCATCCTCGCCGCAGGGGACGCCGGCAGGCGCCGCGGCGCCGTCCTTCGCCGCCGCCGCCGTCGCCGCCGCCGCCGCCGCTGCCGTCGTCGTCGTCGTCGTCGTCGTCGTCGTCGTCGTCGTCGTCGTCATCGTCGTCGTCGGCATCGTCGTCGTCGTCGTCGGCATCGTCGTCGTCGTCGTGGTTGCCGTCGTCGTCGTCGGTGGCTGCGGCGGGATCCTAGGGGTCGGAGTCGGGGTCGCAGGGGGGAGAGGGGAATGGGAAGAAGGATAAGCGGAAGGAGGCGGAGGAGGAGGAAGACGAGAATAATGAGGATGAGGATGCGGATGAGTACGAGTACGAGCATGAGTATGCGTATGGGTATGATTTTGAGGACGAGGATGCGGGTGGGGATGAGTATGAGTATGAGTTCGAGAATAGGTATGAGTATGGGGACGAGTATCGGGGGTGTTGATGTCGATGGGGATGACGCTGACGATGACGATGGTGACGACGACAACGATGATAATGATGATGATGACGACGGTGATGATGGTGGTGATGCTGATGGCGATGCTGATGGTGATGATGATGGTAACGATGGCGATGATGATGTTGTTTTTGATGATGACTATGGTGATGCTGCCGCCGATGATGATACTGCTGCTTACGACAATGGTAACGATGATGCTGATGACGATGCTGATACTAATGCTCATGATGTTGCTGATGCGTATGATGATGACTTTGGCGTTGCTGGTGATGCTGATATTGAGGATGATGCTGGTGATGATGATCATGAGGAGGAGGAGGTGGGTGAGGAGGAGGAGGAATGAGGACGATGATGATGTGCTGTCGAGGAGGAGGAGGGGAAGAGAAATGGAAGTCATTAATAAGGATGTGGAGGAGGACGGACGTAGGAGAGGGTTGGGTAGGAGGAGAAAAAGGAGGACCAGTGTAAACCCGAGGCGCACCAACGATGTGGCAATAGGCTCTCCCTCCATGTTCCCTCTTCACAGGTTCCTATGAGAATTGTTTTTTTAACTGATGGAAGTGCCTCGTTGGTAGACAAACGTGTGCGCATCGTCAATCTCGCCAGCGCATCATTCATTTGACTTCTACGCCGCGAATTTACCTTCAAGGTTCATTCGCGGCGTAGAAGTTACCAATGCGTCCAGACAACCCTGAATCGCGCTCGCCAAAGCCTCTTTCCTGGGACTCCAACACCGCGAATCAACATGAATCAACGTGACTGTTGCGCCCTTGCAGTGTTAAACCTTGCCAGAACACCATCCCCGAGACGTCAACCAGAATCATCAGTGCTACGGCTGTGCACTTTTCAAACGAATCTACGCGGCGCGAAGACGAAGGCTACATTTTGAAAGCCGCCCGCCCTCCGTCTGTGAAGCTCCTGCACTCTTTAAACACGCATGTGCGCGGAGCTGAGGCGAGAGCCACACATTGAAAACCGCACGCCCTCCATCCGTGAAGCTCCCTTAGCGTTTTAAACGAATGCTCGCGACGCTAGGGCGAGAGCCACATTCGGAAAAGGAGCCGCCCTCGTGCGCGGCGCTTGGGCGAGGGCCACGTTTTTGAAAACGAGCCGACCCCATCCGTGAAGCTCATTGCAAATTTCGAAGACGAATGCGCGCGGCGCTAAAGCGAGAGGCGCATCTTGGAAACGACCCGCCCCCCATTCATGAGACGTCTGCAAATGTCGGGGCGCCACGGTGGGAGCCTCACTGTACAAAAGAGCGGGCCTCCATCCATGAAGCTCCTGCGATTTTGATCGACGAACATGCGAGACCATCCGCCCTTCATCCGTGAGGCTCTTGCAAACTTGTACGACGAATTTGTGCGCGGCGCTCAGGCGGGAACCACATTTGGAAAACGAGCCGACCTCCATCGATGAAGTTCTTGCAAGCTTTCAAAACGAATGCGCGCGGCGCTGAGACGAAAGTCGCATTTGGAAAACGGCCGCCCTCCATCCGTGAATATGCTGCAGGTCTTAAGCCTCAGAGTCGGAAGTCGCGAGGGGGTCTCAGGCGAGACGTCTGGCCCGCCCTACAGACACGTGTCCGGGTGCGACATGGATAAGTTGCCTAGAAGGAAAAGGAGCGGATGATGAGAGAAAAGGAGGAGGAGAAGGAGGGGGAGGAGGATGAGGAGAGGAAAGGCAAATGGAGGAGGATGAGGAGGAGAGGAAAGGAAAAAGGAAGGGAGGAGGAGGTGTAGGGTAGGAGGACGAGGAGAAAAAGAGGAAAGGAGGAATGAAGACGATGATGATGATGATGATGATGATGATGATGATGATGATGATGATGATGAGGAGGATGAGGATGAGGATGAGGATGATGATGAGGATGAGGATGAGGATGAGGATGAGGATGAGGATGAGGATGAGGATGAGGATGAGGATGAGGATGAGGATAGGATGAGGATGAGGATGAGGATGATGATGATGCTGCTGATGATGATGATGATGATGATGATGATGATGATGATGATGATGATGATGATGATGATGATGATGATGATGATGATGATGATATGATGATGATGATGATGATGATGATGATGATGATGATGATGATGAATGATGATGATGGATGATGATGATGATGATGATGATGATGATGATGATGATGATGATGATGATGAGGATGATGAGATGACGGAGGAGGAGGAGACGAGGAGGAGGAAGAGGGGAGGGGGGAGGGAGGGGAGGAGGAGGAGGAGGAGGACGCCCTTGAGGAAATTAGGAGTGAATCCAGGAAAAGCAGCAGCGGCGGCAAGAGGGGGCCAGTGAACGGGGCGGCGATCGGACGCCGGCAGGTGGACCATCAGCGGGGGTACGCTGTATCTTGTGTGGGACAGGTGGGACCCCGAGGAGCTGCAGATCGCGGACGGTGGCCGCACCTTCGAGTCCACTTCCTGGAGGGCTCCAGGGGAGGGGGAAAGAGAGAGAGAGAGAGAGGGGGAGGAGGTGGAGGAGCAGGACCGTCCGTAGCCGCTTGGCTCAAGCCCGGCAGCCACCTCCCCTGCGGGGGCGGCTTCGGGGGACCGCGCCTGGCGGCGCGGCGACGCAGCGAGCCCGGCGCGCGCAGCCGCAGCCGGAGCCCGCGCGCCAGGGGCAGGAGCTGGGACCCCGCGTCGAGGCCCGAGGAGCGCCGCCGCGGCCGCGGCTCGCCGCCGGTGTGGGCGCACTGCGGGGGGCAGGCGCGCGCGCTCGGGCGGCTCCACGGGCCCCCGCGCGGCCGCGGCAGCGAGGGCGTCGCCACCCGCTTCGGCACCGGCCTGCCGGACGAAGCGCCGGACGAGGCCGTCTGCGCCGCCTTCGAGCGCTTGGGGGCGGCGGTGCTGCGCCGCGCCACGATTCGGCGAGGGCCCGAGCTGCTCGCCTCCGTGCGGTTCCGGAGCGCGCGGGACATGCGGTGTGCCGCCGAGGGAGCTGCGCGAGGGAAGGTGGAGGCCTAGGTACGGCTGGCCAGTGAAGGTCGAGGTCGCCCAGCGCAGCGCGGCGGTCCGAGTCCTCTCGCCGCGGTGACCCTGGGTGCTCGCCTGAGGGCGGCGGCCGCTCGTCCGCAGAGGGCACGCCTCGGAGGGCACGCTGAGGGCCCGCCGCGGCGGCCTCGTCTCGGAGAGCAGAAGCAGTATCAACGTCACGCCTAATCCGAGGGCGGCGGGGCTTCGGAGAAGGCTGAGCCTTCCGAGACGGCGCGCGTGTCCCTGCTGCGCATGGCCCCTCCATCGGATCGGCGCTGGGCCCCGCCTCTGGCCTCCGGCGGAGCCGAGGCCGCGACCGCAGGTTTCACTTCCCTTTTCCCCCTCCTCTTCCCCGCCTGCTCCCACCGTCTCTGCACTGTTCTTGCCATCTCTCGGCCGTGCAACGCTGGCTCAATTGAGGGGCGAGGCGGCTAGGGAGAGAACGGGAGTGGCGTGATGCTCCCCCAGCCGCCCGCCCCACACCAGCCTCGCCTGTCCTTGTCAGGGCGGCTCTCTCACACGACGGGGCCGCTCGTCGAGTTCGACCCGACCCTCTCTCTCTCGTGGTCCCCGTGGTTCCCATGTGTTTCCGAGGCTTGTGCGTGTCTGCCCAGAGAGAAGAGGCCGAGCTCATGTTGCGTCCTGTTTCTCGCCTCGTCCTCCACCCCTGGCATCGCTCGGACGTGTGCATTTTTCCTTCGGCGAGGACCATCGAGGAGCATCCTTGATCATTTCGCGAACAGGAGATGGACGTCCGAGCGATGGCCAGCCACCCGCCGGCATTTCAAGGGCCGGTTGCGTGGCTGGGCGAGGCGCCTGCATGGCTGTCCCGCGGCGTGCCGCGGGCCACTTAGCGCCACGGACGGAGCGCCCAGCGGCCTGCGCAAGAGAAGGAGGAGGACCAATTCAGGAGGGGGAAAAGCACACAGACACAATGAATCGTCGATTCCCCTAGAAGATATGGCACATATGGGAAGTGGGGGGGAAGACAAAGACACAGAAAATATGGGAAACTATGGGGAACATATTTATTTGTGTGTATTTATTTGTGTCCTGGGGCCCCTTCACAATTCAGGAGGGGAAAAAGCACAGACACACAATGAATCGTCGATCCCCCAGAAGAGATGGCACATATGGGAAGTGGGGCGGAAGGCGAAGCCCAGAAAATATGGGAAACTATTGGGGATCTGGTGATTTGTGTATCTTCATTTGTGTGTTCCAGTTCCCCTTTCACCAGTGCAAACCCAAGATTCAGCACCGAAATTGAAATCAGCCCTCCCTCCAATTTCCCCCTTCGCAGTTCCATACAAGGCTCCATTCTCACTGGGGGAAGTGCCTCCTGGGAAAGCAGCAACCGTTCAAAAGTTCTGAGCTGTTCCGGAACACCCCTCCTGGGACGTCAGCGCCGCGAATCACCGTTATTGTTGCGTCTTGACGGTCTGAAGCCCTGCCAGAAAGCCACTCGTGGGCTGTCAATGCCGCGAGCCAATGTAATTGCTGCACCCGGATAGTCCGACACCATGCCAAAACACCATTTTGGGGACGTTAACCACGATATATTGTGTATGGTGTTGTGAACTCTTGGAACGAACGTGCGCGGCGCTAAGGCGAGAGGCGCAGTTTGAAAAGGAGCCGCCCTCCATCCGCAAAGCTCTTGTAACATTTAATGACGAATGCGCGTGGCGTTTAAGGCGAGAGTGACCTTGCGAAAAGGGAACGATCTCCATCCATGACGCTGTTGCGATTTTTTCTATACGAATGTGCGCGGGACTCGGGCGAGAACCGCAGTTTGAAACAAAACGCCTTCCATCCGTGAAACTTGTGCAAGGTTGATTGGACGAGTGTGCGCGGCGCTGAGGCGAGAGCCATTTTTTGAAAACGATCCGCCCTCCATCCGTGAGGGTTTCGCAATGTTCAGCTTCACGATCACACATGGTGAAGAAGTTTGACGCGAAACGCCCAGCCCGCCCTACCTACACGCCTTGGGGTGCGACATGTAGGAGTGATTTATCTGTTTAACCAAAGGATGGAGGAGGATGAGGGAGAGGAAAAGAAGGAATGAGGAGGAGTGAGGAGAAGGAGGAGGAGAAGGAGGAGGAGGAGGAGGAGGAGGAGGAGGAGGGGGGGGGGAGGAGGAGGAGGAGGAGGAGGAGGAGGAGGAGAGAGGAGGAGGAGGAGAGGGAGGAGGAGGAGGAGGAGGAAGAGCAGGAAAAGGAACAACAAAAAGAGGAGGAGGAGGAGGAAGAGGAGGAGGAGGAGGAGGAGGAGGAACAGGAGCAGGAGAAAGAGGAGGAGGAGGAGGAGCAGGAGGAGCAGGAAAAGGAGGAGGAGGATGAGGAGGAGGAGGAAGGGGGGGCCGTAGCCATTTTGGCTCAAGGGGCCTTCTCCTGAACTGCCAACGTCGCTCGAGAGATTGATGCTTGTTCCCTACCTAGGCTCTGCCTGGAAGGGTTCTTACTCTCTGGGCTTAAAGGGGCCAGGCAGTGGAAAGCGCCCCGGGCGGTTCCCCCAGTATCCGCCTCGCGGTTCCCCCAGTTGCGCCTCCTGGGTTCACCCAGCTTAGCTAAGCTAAGCTTAGTTTAGCTTATCTGATCTCGTATTGGCTTAGCTTAGCTTAGCTTTGCCTAGCCTAGCTTAGCTTAGTTTAGCTTAGCTTAGCTTAGCTTGGCTTGGCTTATCTCATCTTAGCTTAGCTTAGCTTAGTTTAGCATAGCTTAGCCTAGCAAAAACAGCATCAAGCAAACGCAACAACAAAAGCAAAGCAACAGCAAACGCAAAAGCAAAGGCAAAGGCAAAAACAAATGCACGATCAAAAGCAAAGGCAAAGGCAATGCAAAGCAAAAGCAAAGCCAATGCGAAATTGTAGATGTAGGTGTAGGTGTAGCTGTGGATGTAGGTGTAGATGTATATGTAGATGTAGATGCAGGTGTATATGTAGGTGTATATGTAGATATAGATGTGAGTCTCGCTGGTGATGTTGATGTAGGTGTAGGTGCATGTGTAGATGTACATGTAATTGTCGGTGTAGATGTAGATGCTGCTTTCCTAAATGCTCGAATTCCTAGGTAGGGTCGCACTGGGATAATCTTTCAGTTTGAACGCCCACGAGCTTCCGTGGGCAGAGGTTCGCGACTTCCCCGTTCCAAATGACTCCTTTCACTGATCGCTCCCTGCAGGCATTTCGGCTCGCGCAATTGTGGGCCAGGGTTGCAGGCGGCGTCAAGCATGGAACCGCAGTGCCAGAGCCAAGTGCTTCCATTGCGGGGGATGGAATCAAAGTTGGCCAGGGCCAGCAACGGGGCGGGCGCGGCCGCCGCACGGAGTCTGGGCCCAAGGTGGTGGGCGCAGGCCGCCAAGGGCGCCCCGACAATGGCGGATTGGGAAAAGCAGCAGGAAACTGAGCTGGATGAGAAGCATACAGAGCTCTGGCTCACCATTTCCGACGATCGATTGAACACAGGCCCCTACTGCCTGTCCCAAAGTCAACGCGACAAATTGCTGTACAGGAGGAGGCTCAAAGCGGCGGGCATGGTGGGCCCCCGAGTGCACGAGCACCTGCCGCAGACAGTCTCCAAGGCGCAGAACAAGCTTCTCCAGGCCCATCAACGAGCTGAGGCCGCCAACCTCGCAGCTCGCGAAGCCGCCCTCGAGGCCGTGGAGGCTGACGAGGCCATGCGCGAGGTGGAGGAGGAGTTCAGGCAGGCCGAGACCCAAGCACCCCAGCAATCAGGAGCAGCGGTGCGGCCTCCTAACGTGGCTCATCCAGAGCTCCGGGCGCTGCTCGGTCGGGAAGCTCTTGGAGAAGGCCAGGAAGCTGCTCCCGCCTGATGAGGGCAAGAGCGGCGGAGAGGGGGCCACCGCTGAGCAGCGAGAGCTTAAGGGGACCCCCCCGGAGCTCGACAAGCTCAATCCCAAGGGGCCGGCCGCCCCAGCCGCCCCAGGGATGGGCGGGGGCGCGGGGTCGACGTCGCCAGGGCCCCCGTCTCGCGGTGGCCAGCCTGGTTGTGATGATGGCCCTATGGGCGCCGATGAGGGCGATGTGCAGACATCGTAGCGCGCGAGACCGCATGTCCCAATGGAATGTTGGGGTCACTGGGGGTAGCTGGGTGCAGGACATGCTCGGACTGTTCCAGGAGCAAGCGAAGCGGCTGCGGCGGGCCTGATGCCGCGGCCGAAAAAAAGCGCGCCCGAGAGGGTGCGCCTGCCCTCCCGACGCGGAGGGGGCACCAGGGCATGCTCGCCCTTGTCTTGGATCTCGGGCCTTTCGGCGGAGCGCCCGCGCCCGCCTCAGGGGCGCCTCGGAAGGGGGCGCGGGGCGGAGGCAGCCCGGGGCCCCCCGCAGGGAGCGACCGCTGCGGACGGCGCCAACGTTGAGGAGAACAGCCAGGTGCACGTCGACTTCTATTTCAGCAACATCACTTGCTGGAGCGACAGAGGACAGCGGCACCTCAAGCAAGGACAACGCCCGATGGATTCTGCCCGCGTCGTCGGCGTAGCCGAGCGCCGCTCGCAGGGCAGGACGTT